ACACAATGAATGCCGAGCAATATTTTCAAATTTTGAAGACAAATTTACACCAAAGCGCAACCAAATTTGGCTTTATTAGTGAAAATCGGCCAACTTTTAAATTTTACCAAGACAACGATCCAAAACATAAGGAGTATAATGTACGTAATTGGTTGCTTTACAACTGCGGAAAGGTCTTGGATACACCACCCCAAAGCCCAGATCTCAACCCAATCGAACATGCGTGGTCTTATTTAAAGAAAAAGGTTGGAAAAAGGAATCCAACCAACCGTGGACAGCTAAAAGCTTTCGTACTGGAAGAGTGGCAGAAGATACCCCTAGAGTATATTCAAAACTTGGTCAACTCAATGAAAAGAAGACTCCAACATGTACAGAATGCTAAGGGGGGCCATACTAAATATTAAGTATTTCAAAATTAGTTATAATTAGTTTTACATTTTAAATTTAGAACAATATATAAGAAGTGTGTAAAGAGTTTCTTGACAGTGTAAAATATGAGTAATCTAAGTTTTTGTTGTTTTTCAAGTTTCACCATTATTGTTTTTGTTTCTGTTTTCTATAATTTGATTTAAAAATACCTATTAAACAGTTAACCATTAAAAAAAATTAGTTAAATTAAACAAAAACTCTTTATTTTTTTACATAAAGTCAAAAAATTGAGATTTTTTCCACTGTGTAAAGTGTTTCTTGACAGACTGTATATGAATATGTAAATATATATGCGTATGCATACATATATGTATATGTATTTACATGATCTTTGCCGTCATTCAAAACTGAGTATGATTCAAAACAAAAACAAAAATGACAACATATACATATATATGTGCGTAGACACACACATGCATACCGATGTATGCTGACAGTGCATGTACGCATGTATGTATGTACGTATTTATTCATGTGACGTACCTCACGCAAACAGGCGAAGATAGACACACACATACACGCAAATATACTTAAAGCTTTTTCGGCGAGAGAGTCGGCGACAGAGCCAGCGAGAGCGAGAGAGCTTTGACAATCAAAAGAAAAATTAACTGACGTGCAGAGCAAAGCAGTTTTCAACTAAGTATGTAGAAAAGATCCGAGCTGGAGGCTTTTATGATCCATCAATCAGCAAGAAACGAGTGAGAATGGGAGAAAAGTAACGATAATTTTAAATTGGTATTCTTTTTGATTCTGCCATTCACACTCATTTTCTGCCGATTACACTTGCACTTGTATTTTATATGATAGTTACTTGCGCCCACACATCAAGAGACCATTTGAGAATTTACCAAGTACATATATAACATTATTTCACTATAATATACGACTAATTGATGCTCTATAAAAAAATATTAGTCAAATACAGTTATTCATAACCTTTTTTAAAGTAGGGCTGCTAATAGGAACTCATCTAAAATATATTCAGGAATGCCTAGTATGAAAAAAAATACATACATATGTACATATATATACATATCTGAATATTACCAATGGGTATAGCACTACATATAAAAAGGAGTTGACATACCATCGAAAGTACATATCTAGATATTTTACATACATATATCTATTGTTTTATAGTCCATCATAAAGTTAATCTACCTGCATTATAAAACTACTACGTTCGGTAAGTGATTAAATTTATAGTCAAATACTCGCAAATATCTTCTGCTCAGATTATATGGATATGTCCACTGAGTTATCAAAGCTAAATACTTAAGATAAGGAATATGTACGCATATATAACATTGTCAGATTATATATATCATCTTTACTTTGCTACACCTGCACCCCTATATTGACAATTTTGAAGAGGAAACAACGCTGACTTTAAGCTAGATAAACCTGCGATAATTCCTATATATGAGTGTATGATGATAGACTGGACTTACTGATTATATCTACTACATAAAGCAACTTTAATATCCTCTCAATTTTAATAGATATTGTAGATAGATTTAAAAGTAATAGAATTTTTGTTATAAAGATATTGAAGTAGATTCTTGATATATATATATTTATTTAAAAACTTGACAGAATTCATTCTCTTCATTTTCAATGTATATATAAATCCCTTAGCCACAATTAAAGATTATCTTTGAAACACATTTTTGGGACAATTTGATATGGAAAAGTATTCAGATATGGCAACACAATGATAATGTTTATACAATAGTTACAATAAAAAGTATACAGATTATGAATATATATTTATATATATATATATATATATATATTATATGAATATATTTGACAAAAGGACATTTGACATTAAGCGATCCTATAGCCTATAAATATGTAAATATGTATGCTTTGCGAGTGAGCTTAACTTAACTGGGACGTAGTTACAGGGACATGTATAGATTGAGTGATATATTTGATTTTGGACTTACCTTAGCTGATGATGTTCGCTGTTTGATGGCAGATGCATGGGCCGAGTGTGTGCTTAAAACGTTCTTATTGACGGAACTGGCACCGACACCACCCACACCGCCGCCGCCGACGCCGCCAACACCACTACCCGGAGGATGATGATGATGATGATTGATCGCTGATGATGGTGGTGGACCAGTGGTGACGGTGGCATTATTGCTCGATAGCCGTGCACCGTCCGTGCTCATATTGTTGGCAACATGATGATGATGCTGATGGCTGTGCTGATGGTGCGACGAGTGGTTTGTGTTTGCTGTCGTTGGCGCGGCATTTGTTACTGCTGCTGCTACTGCTGCTGGCACAGGTGTGCTAGTGGTTGTATTATTGCTACTGCTGGCTGAGTTCGAGGACGATATTGGCAACATTGTCGTGGTTCCAGCTGATGCGGCTGTTGTTGTTGCTGCTGCAGCCGCTGCTGTTGTTGCTGCTGCTGTTGTTGTTGTTGTTGCTGTTGCGGCTGGTGTTGGTGGTTGTGGCAGTGAGACAATGTTGGCATTGGCTGAGTCATGCTGCTGCTGCTGATCCTTTACAGAATGCGCCGAGCTACTGATTGTGTTTGTTGTATAAGTTGTTGTGCTAGCAGCGGCTGTCGTTGTGGCATTTGATGCCGTTGACGTTGGCGTTGCAGCCGTCGCAGTCGCCGTCCCATTTGAGACATTCTCTGCGGGCAGGGCTTCAGGAACTGGTTGCAAAGTTGTTCGCATTGCTGTAGACATATTTTCTAGCCAAATCTCTTCACTATATATATATCTCTATTTGTAACTGTACTATTATGTGACGCAATATTCTGCAATAGAACAGAGGCCAACTAATCTCTCTATTCCTCCAGTTGATCGCTTCCAAATCTCTCACGCCCCTTCAAAGTACTTGCCGTTGTTGTTTTTCTAATATCTTAAATTAAAATTTATTCCTAATAAGCTATTCGCGCTTAGCTCCGCAGCCGCTTTTCATCTGAAAAATAGAAAGAAAGAAAATTTGTTTTATTACATTTATTTTTTAAATTACATTAAAAAATCTAGTCTTTTGGCTGGGTGCTAGAACATCACAATTTCCATAAATCAAAAGTTTTATAAAGATTCTTTTTCTTAAATCCTTAATCAAATCTGAATCGGAATGGTTAACAATCAAAGCATAAGGCATAAAAAAAGAGAAATATATTTTTAATCAGAGAATTAACGACGTCAATGTCCAACCCTTCCGAAAGTTAAGATGTGGCTGTTTTGCTTTTTAATACAGAATAAAATTGATATTTGTTATTAATCAGCTAATCAAAAAGTTCTTATCAAAACAAAAACAACTTGTTTCTATTCGTAATTAGGTCAAACTTTTTGACACTTTGCCTATAAGTGAGCTACAATCATTTAGAAAAAAATTACTAATCTTTAAATATTTAAGCAAAGTTTGCTTAAATTTATATATATATATATGTATTTCAAATACCAATAATATAGATTTTGTACGAAGATTAGCATTTATTGAATCCAGAATAAATTATAGAGAAACATCATATGCCTATGTATATGACATCAGATTAGATATACAGTTGCTTCTTCTAGCTATACTGTCGCTTAGACGCTTCTGTAGCTTCTCAAAAATCTAACTATATAATTCTCAAGTGGTTATTGCTTTCAAAGAGTGCGATAACAAAGGCCGAGAGATTCTTGAAATAGCTAAACAGGCAAGCTCGACTCACTTTTTTGCTGTTTATACATTGAAACAACAGATTAATAGTCAGCAACAATTACATGAGTGAGCTTAAGAAATAATATATATATATATATATATATACCAAATTACTTTAAGGTATATATATTATAAACAAACACATGACAATACAGTTTAGAAAACAGGCCCAAAGTGGGGGGAAACCAACAAGAAAACTGTGTTTCGTTGTTTCTTTTTAATAGTTTTTAATGGAGCAGATGAGGAAAACGAAAGTTCGTGGTAATTGTACATTTCGCTTAACATTAGCTAAGGGGCGTACCTTCACGAGCAACAAACTCATCTAAAAATACATTGAAAGCTATTAAACTTTAAGATATATTGATTTTTGTAAGCCCAAGGTGAATCCTATACGGATGAATTAAAAAAGTCTTAATATGGATATCAAAAAAAAGCATTTGGCATAGCAAAACAGAGTTTGTTTACTCAGTTTGTTAATGTGGTTATATCTATATATTTACATTTATATATATATAAGCAAATATCTTTGTAAATCAAAACTTTGAAATAAACTATTTAGAGAAGCTTTCTTTATCGATACAGTAATTTATAGGGTATTGTAAAACCAAAATCAAAAATATTAAGATAAACTTGAACTAAAACTTAAACAAATGGCTGCCTTCATCTATATAAATACTATATTTTAATGCACACAAAATATATATGGATTATGTTTATGAAAATTGTTTAAGTAAACAATAAAAGTATATAACAAGGCGAAAAACATTACAAAATTATATTAACTAAATATATATACACAATTATATAGTGTTGTATGCGAACAGCGAAAATTTCATGTGATTGATTATACGAATAATCACAATTTGACGTATACCAAGATCTATATAAAGCTCGTTATATATAAATAGTTTATAATGTATTGTAAGTCAATATTATATAAACAAATTTCTATTGATTTTAGTTGGTATATAGTAGGGACTTAGAAAATCAATAACACTCTCAATTTCGGCTTTTAGCTGGACTTGTTGCAACGTGCACAGCTCCTGTCTGACACCCAAACTAAGATTACTGCGTGACAGAATATCATTAATCTTCTTATTGTCGTGCTGAGTGAGAGCAACAGAGCATTTGGAAATGCTATCTATTTCAGATGGATGCAGGCCAATCCAACGCAGCGTTGGCGTGGCCAAGCTCTTTGCCGAGAAGCTCATGGCCTGCGAACCAAGCTGGTAAACGAGCATTATTTCAATGCCAAATGGATCAGCGTCCACTAAAATGTATGCTGGTAAATTGCATTCGACGGACAGTCTGTATACAATACGGCGGGTAGTGCAATCCGGATACCCCTTGCCGGTCAGCAATATGAAACGCAAGCCAAACGTGCTCAAAGCATTACAGGCCAGCAAGCTCTCAAAAACCGACTCTTTTTCAACGATCAAGACCATTTCGGCATTTGTCACGATTCGTTCCACATTTTCAAAATCCGTTGGCAATGTTATAGCTCCGCAATATACGTTGCAATCCAAAACATCGCCATTGCTCATGAGCAGCTTTATGTCGCCTACAATAGAGAAATTCCCATTAGTTTAATTTTCCAAAAAGAAAAGAAATAGTAAGCAATGTGTTACAATACTTCACACCTGTAATTAGTCCCTTCGACGCTGACAGTATGCCCAAGTTAACAGGTGCCGTGTTTAGCATGCGGCAAACATCCATTTTAGCGGCATCAATGTAGGACTGTGAGCGAATCACCTGAGTGTTCCGATAATATAGTCCACGTATCGTACAACTACCGCCAGTCAAATGCAAACAATGTATCTCAGCCAACAGATAGACAATCAGGCAAAAGCGATGACGACTACGTTTGCTATTGTAAACGATCTTACGAAATTTGCCAAATAATATCTCGTAATCATCTCGCACATACCAATCTCGACACTTCTTTGGTATTTCTAAAGCCACTTTCTCATAACACATCAAACTCCTTATCAACTCCAAAACGATCTGCTCAACATTAAGCAATAGCTCACTTTTATCAGAAGACATAACCTATGAAGATGTTTATTAAAATAATAATGGACCAAAATTGGGGGCATCAACTTCTGCCCACTTTGATGCTAACAACTCCACAGTTAAAAAAGATCTTCAGTAATTGTTTAGCAAACGATTGAATGAACATTAAACAAGTTATCAATGGGATTTTTGACTTATGTAGATTTTTTAAATTGAATTTGAAAACAGATCAACTTAACTCTATTCCAAATAGCAAGTTTAACAATCGAATAAGCATAAAAACAATATATTAACGAAAAACAATGTTAGCGACCTCACAGACTAAACATTCGCAGACTTTGACATATATATACAAATTTAATATTAGCAAAATAAATTTGAATATATGTGAAATCGTGTCTTAAGCGAGAAGTCCTTGAATACAAGTCTAAAGCCCAATGCATTATAAACAAAGAGAGCGTCATACTATTAATTGTTTATTAATTCCAATTAAAACCGCTATAATATATATTTCTTTTGAATGTTTTCAGAAATTAATGGTTTCATGGAGGAACTAAATTAATAATTTAGATGATGCTTGCTAATATATTTATTTATTGGATATAAAATATCTTCATTTGTTATAATTGCATTTTAATTTGCATTAAAATTTATAAATTTATAAACTATTCAATAAAATTATTTTAAGTTATTATAACAATCCTGCATCTGTGAAACCTTTTATTAATATTTTATAATATTATTATATATTTGTTGATTCTCTTTTGTTATATTTCGTAAGTTGTTAATTGTCAATCATTGTATGAAACAGTTTCGATTAGCACCTAAGCGCGTGCTATAATATTTAAAATGTATTTTTTTAAATAAACATAACTCAAACAAAGAGTCTGAAAATTAGTTGAAGCAGAAACTGTTCAGTAGATAAATACATACAAATACATGGAAATATATGGATATATACAAGAAATATTTGCGTCACACACCCTTTTATTATTAAGCTATTTTTCTTGCAACAAAACTAAATATATATATATATATATATAAATAATTGTATTATATATACATACAGAAGAGGAATTGTATATATATAGACGAAGTATACATATATATATATAAATATGTATATAGAGTTTTTGAAATTGACTTAGGTCTGGGCAAACTTTTGACCAATTTTCCGTATATGAAAATTGTTAAATATTAACACAAACACAATTACAAGTCTGAAAAGGGAATAACTGATGTACATTTAAGTTAACACACACACGCACGCACACACAGTTACATTAAAACCGATGTACACACATTACTTATGTCAATTTCTTTATTCAGGCTTTTTTTTTTGCTTTATATGCCCAGAAAATTGTACTCGTTATTACAAAGCACGCAGAGTTTATTTTCTTGTGCCACGGGGGCTGACAGGGCGTGGGGCTAAAGCGAAGGTAGACGACAGCGACAGCGGCGCAGCGGCAGCGAATGGAAGAGAAAAACTAGCGAAACACAGCAAACAACGAAATGGCAGCCCCCTAAAATATTGATTTGCTGCTCTGTTCGCCCATAGCGCTTAGCCCAATACGAATTCACCATGTTACTTACCAATAAAAATAATTCCTGAATAAACAATATTAGGTGATAAATTTGTAGTATATTGGCATGAGAGTTTTGAAAGTTAGACGCGTTCCATTACCATATGCCTTATTTCATTCATATAACACATTATTACTTAATTTTTTTTTTCGAATTTTCAAACGCAAAGTGGTAGTGGAAAAGAAAGACCGACTTTTACCGAGCAGCCAGTCGACGACACTACACAACGAAATGCAAATGCATACATACATACATATGTATGTATCTTTCTCACTCGCTCTCACAGCAGCAATATATTTCTCAATAAGATTTTTTCTTTTTTTTTTTTGATAAAAACCGTTTTCAAGTTATGGAACAAAATTATCGCGTTTTTACAGACTAATTTGGCTCACAATGACTTTTTCGTCTAAATATATTGTTATTATTTAAAAAGCTACATTGTCATTAAATCGATTCAGCGAAAGAAGACATTCTAAGTAACTTGATATTGTGGTATATAAGTTAAGTCAGTTTTATTTTTGTTATCGGACGTCGCAACAATTGAATAAATTATATCTTTGTTGCACTTAGAAGATTACAGTTATAATCTTTTCAACCACATACACTATGGCAAAGCAGCAGCATACGTCGTCCAAAGAAATCACATTAAAATCAGGCAGCCATATTGTAGAGTTGCTAATAGTCGATCGATACATCGGTATATTAATAACAACATTAATCGATTAGCTATAATTAAAACAATGACACCAACGAACAACAACAAAGTTACAAGCAATTATCGATATAAATTCTCTAATCGATAAATATGTATTTTTTATTATATCGCTATCATTTCTGATCTACCTATATGATATCGCTAGGTATATCAAATATTTAAGCGAATGAAAGCTCTGAACCACACTCGTTAGAAATTGACTTTTAAAGTAAATTGTTGAAATTAAATATTATAAGCTATTATACAGTGAGCTCAAATATTATATCATTTGAGCAAAAAAGAGTTGGTTTAATAGTCATAAATCTACCAACTGTTATTAATTATATGGTATAACGGATATGCTATTTTAATTGTGCTTTACCCTAATAATGTCAGTTCTGACAAACATTACACAAATCTAAAATAAAATGGAAGCCTTGTGTTTTTATATATTAAATCAAAGACATATTAATATTTTGGTACAAGAAATCAACAAAAAAAATAATATACTAATTTCTTTGTGGAATACCTCTATTTATGTTTCCGTAAACTATCGATTAAAAATCGATAACGTTTATCGCTGGCGTGCGCTGACACTGAACTGTAACACGCCTTTTTCCTTTCTTTCCTACATACCATAATGGCGGTAGGTTTTCTGAAATTTTTGTCAAGTGTAAATTATTCAACATCTACATGAATCGTGCAATATTATTGTAAACTATGAATGTAGACTTGAAGTTATTCGACCTAATGTGATGATTGAAATATTATTTTGCATTTAAATCATAAATTGATAAACCAAAATAAACCTTTTTCAGGCTGTTGCTAAGAAGGAACCTAAAATCAAGCGCGATCCCGCGAAAAACCCTATGCGCGATCTGCACATTAGGAAGCTGTGCCTCAACATCTGCGTAGGTGAATCCGGTGATAGGCTTACCCGTGCCGCCAAGGTAAGAATTCTACAAAACAACAAATATGCCGAAAACAGCTAAAATTCTCAATGTCATTGTTAGGTTTTGGAGCAGCTGACGGGACAACAGCCAGTGTTCTCGAAGGCCCGCTACACAGTGCGTTCCTTTGGTATTCGTCGTAATGAAAAGATCGCAGTGCATTGCACAGTGCGCGGCGCTAAAGCCGAAGAAATCTTGGAGCGTGGCCTGAAAGTGCGCGAGTACGAGTTGAGGCGCGATAACTTCTCAGCCACTGGCAACTTTGGCTTTGGTATTCAAGAACATATTGATTTGGGCATCAAGTACGATCCCTCAATCGGTATCTATGGCTTGGACTTCTACGTTGTTTTGGGACGTCCAGGTATGAATTGAATTCTAATTAGATTTCGAGTGGATGCTGCACATAATTAGGTATCTATTTCCAATTCGAAATTGATGCTCAGTAACTGTGCGCATATTAATGAAGCTGTGCTTAAAATGAAGTTGTTATAATGCAAACTCAAACGGTACAATTGCAACAAAACTATTAACACTTTCCACATATTGTGAATTATTTATCGAGTTATTAATCAAATGATTTCTTTTCTTTAAAGGTTATAACGTGGCTCACAGAAAGCGCAAATCAGGCACCGTCGGCTTCCAACATCGTCTAACAAAAGAGGATGCCATGAAGTGGTTCCAACAGAAGTATGATGGTATCATCCTAAATAGCAAGAAATAAGCGCATTTCGCGACGAAGTTTTTAAGATGAAGATGAATTCTGTAATAAACCCGTCATCGGAGAAATTTATTAATTTTAAAGTCTTCGCTTGCGAGAGACAATATTTTATTTACGATTGGTTTAAACGTGTTTATAGATTGTAACCTGAAAAAATACCAATTCAGAAATTGGAATATGAATGGAACTTTGAATTATCGATGAGGAACCTATATATCCAGGAATGTAGGTTAACGATGAAATGAATGTATCGGAACGTTTGTTTCTTTGAAGTTTTTGGTGGTCAAATAATTGTTCAGTTGCTAGAGAATAGGTTATAATCAAGACTAGATGTAGAGTTCTATAAACAGATTTAGAATTTAGAAGATTTGGAAAGTGTTTTTAAAGTTTGCCTCGTTTGATTAAGAGTTTATGAGGACAATAGGTGTATTTCCAATGCGAGCAAGTCGAAATTGTTTTACAACTTTCTCCTATCTTGATGTATAAGAAAAATCTTATCAAGATCGAAGATCTAAATCTGTGCAGGAAAAATCAATTATTTTCAATAATATATAGGCTGATATTATTAGCTAAACTTAGATATTATTAGTTCAATAACGTCTATATCTCCGACTTGCCAAACCAAGTTATTTTTATTCTATTTTCAAAGCTAAAACTAAAGTTCTGAGAAACTTAAGTATATATACATATATATGTTCGTTCATATACGAAACTAGACTACGTTATTGGGGAAACAAAGAAGGTCTAAATGGATTTGAGTACGTGGTTACTTAATGTCCTTTGAGACCATCTTCAATTTGCTACCTTTTCTATTGCTTAATAATGCGAAACGGATTTGTTGAACCAGCCATTGTATGCCCTCGTCGAGGCCTTCTCCGGAAACTGCGTTGCTGGAACAAATGTGCCAAGGCTTTTCCTTAATGTTTTCCAAGCCCAGTGCTAAAAGTAGGTATTATCTATGACGCTTAAGTTGTACTTATATAACTTCTTATATTTACCCGCTGCAATTTTAACATTAGATAGGGAATCCTCCAGATCCGATTTGTTGCCATAGAAGAGTATGGGTAGTATTCGATTGGAGAGATCGGGATGTTGCAGCACCAGATCTAATTCGTCTTTGACCACCACTACAAAGACAAATTGGTTAAAATTGTGTATTGTTTTTGTATAAAACATACCGAATCTCATTCTGTCGCTTGAGTCAATTACATAGATAATTCCTTGACAATTTTTGAACTGATGCTCCCATAAATTTCTGTAACGCGTAGCCCCCGACATATCTATTGCCTTGATGCATACACCCATATCTGAAAAATAAGAATTATTAGTATTATATTTATTATTTACAAAGTACTTACTGTAGAACTGCTCTATTAGGAAACCCACTGTTGGCACCATTATAGCTGACTGTTCATTGGATTTCTTGAAATGATTTATTATCGTCGATTTGCCGCTGTTATTTAAGCCTAAAACGAGTATCGTCATTTTATCCCTTTTGACTTTAATCAAGCCCGTTAAATTGTGCAGCATTCCCATATTACGGCTCTATGTAAACTTAAAAATGAAAATACAAAACAGTTTTACTACGTTTGGCCCTGCCAATTTGACCAGTTGGTAACTATAGAAACGTTCTTTAGACATCGATTTATTGAAGCGCGGTTTGTCCTTCAAAAGTGATGAAGGCCGCTGTTAACAACGACTCTGTAAGTTCACTGTTTAATGAAATGAAGTTGTGCTCCGTTACTTTGAGTGATCACGAAAAGGAGTGCATGTGACGTCACCGCATTGTTAAATGGCGGCAGCTTTTGCAAGTAAATCCGTTACTTTGAGCTCGTACATTAAGACATGTGAGTGACGTCACAATACCGGTCTGTGCTCTGTTGTTGTGTTTTTAAAATTAGCGCGTGCTCGATCCAAATGCAATTTTTCTATCCGTTGTAAGGTTATTTAGAAAACAGAGCAACAGCCCACTGTCAAAATGAATGCTTAATGCTGAGAGTTACATGCGTTCTTTGTATTTAACATATTCATACATTTGCGATAATGTGACGTCACGACGCTAGGTTTACAGCACTATGCATTACCTTGTATTTGCTTATCGCGCCTTCAATAAAGGTCAATATTTTTACTTTTGCATTGTGACAACAGGTCGGAGAATCAATTCAGAGCAGCAGATACGTTACTTTAAAGCTTTTGGATCAATTAGTTATGTGGGCGATAGGCTTAGGACAGAATACTCTCTGGACCAAATCACTGCCTAACAATACTAATCACAATTGTAAAAGCAATTAGAAAGCTCGAAGTGGAAGCAATCCCATAGTAATTACTAAGGCATGCCAAGTGGAAACGATGAGTCAGGGTGTAAAGAACTTCGTCGAAAATGATGATGCAGTATTCTCGCCCAATGCAAAACCACTGAAGAAAAGTCTGCAGATACATCTGTCCTTCATTGCCACCAATTGCATCTTGTTAAGACTAATGATACAGACAATTCCAACTAGATTACTAATAATTAACATTGTCTTACATACTTTAACATACAAATCAGGTAACAGTTATATATACAATTACAGGAAAGCCATATTACATTTTTATTCATTTTTGAAAAATTTTATTTAACATTATTAAGTTAACCAATAACTTAGCAATCTAGAAAATTAGCTGCCATTAATAGTTCTAAGGCGATTTCTGGTGCAATCGGAAATTCTGGTATTTCAGTTGAACTATTGGTATATCGAACTTTATATGTGAAGTACATGCACACCTTCTGTAGAACATGCGACCTGCAAAGGAAAGAAAGGAAACTTCATTAATATTAATTCATTTTATAACTTTTTCTTTATATATACATTTATCTATCATTTATTGACATATTATATAATTATAGAGTTCTGCCAACAAAAATATAAAATTTAATATCGATTCGCATCTGTATTTAACAAAATCAGCAAAGAACGGTACGTCGATCTGATGTAGATTATATATGCTTCATAAAGACAGCGATTACCTCAGCTTATTTTGTTTAGATTGAATATAAAGCATAGATCTATGACCCCACAAACTATTCAAATGTTTAATCAGTAACAACGGACTTTTGAGGGTGTTATAGCTGTGTTTGAAGTATCGATGCTGTATATACTAAAAATATTATATAGTTGACATATACTACATATATGTGTATAAATGTATGTATGAGCAACACTAAAATCTAACAATAAATTTTTTATAGTTTCCACTTCATCTCTCATTTGACTCTTGAAAAGGATTAACATAGTTTTTAAATTATATACTATATATTTTTCAACATCATTGCATTTGTCTGTTCAATGAACAAACTACTATATATACATATTTCTGAATCGAAAGATGTCTATTAATTTCTATTTATGTCTGGTATATATACTAATTCTATATATACAATGATAATACTAATAAAATTCCCACTAAGTAGTATAATTTTAGTTAATCGGCTGAATATTACAAATATTTAACCCTTCAATAAGCTAAATACATATACATTACACACATACATATGCTTATGTGTATGCAATTTAACCCGTATGTACGTATGTGTGCATGGGTCAAATATATGTATATGTATGTATGTATGTCTGTATATGGAAAAATATTGGCACTCCCTTGACCGGTCATTAGCACACATTTGATTTAAATGAAAGTACTCTGCGCATTTAGTTGGTATTACAAAATAGGACTTACGGAATCTCACGAAAGTGCACTTCGTTAGCCTCGTTTTCAGCGAATTGTCCTGGGCCAGATAACATTGCCTTAATCGTGCCAGAGGTGAGAGCATGTTCCCGTTTTACAATAAATTCGTGTCCATCTGACGAAATCAGTTTGACGTACATGGCGTCTGGCCCCTCGCAACCGCCATAGACCTTATCGCCGCGCTGCTCGTCCATTGCTATCATCTGAAAAATTTACTTACTATATATTTTTTCGCAATATTACCAATTTTATTTATTTTTTGTCTTACTTGCCAAAAGTCAGTCTGTGACAACACTCAAAATCGTACATATACAATTTAGTGTTGTGTAATGGCTGAAATGCTTAATTTCAAATTTCATCATACTGTCATGCAAAACTGTAAGAACACAAAGTTACAAAAATAGCAAGAAACTATTGCAACTTACAGATATCAATGGATCTAATTGTTATATTCATTTTAATATTTTATATGAATGTTATGTTACACTGTTATTGTGCATGTTAATTGTTTGCAGCAGAGGCAAAAATGAATATATTTTCGATATTTTCATTCGATAAAATTTCTTACCAATCGACAGAGTTCCCCACCACTATACAATAACAACTAGCAGCTGTTTGTTCGGGTGGGAAAAAGGTCTAACAATAATAGTTAGTGTAGTTGTAAACAATTTTGTATGTTTAAATTAAAAATGCGAATTAATTCAACTAATTTTCAAAGAAAACATTGCAGCTAAATAAAGTATTATTTATTCTGTATAACATATTAATCTCATACTCTACAGTGGACTTCAATTTTCGAATGTTCTTCTCTGACATGCGCAAATTAAAGTTATCGATAACTTTTCTTATTTCTCCAGAATTTATAAAATTCGGCGACTTTAGCTGATAAATGTATGCATACTAGGTAACGCTGAATTTGTGTGTATGTCGCCATCTATGAACCTATGCATAAAATGGAGTTCGGAATAAGTGTCTATTTAGGGTACTTTTTGATTTTCAGCTTTGATTGCACCTGCCTAAGATTGCAAATGTAGCAACAGAAAAAAATAGAATAAATACATAAATTTAACAAAGTTTTTTTGTAAGAAGAAATCGTTTCGACTTTATTGGTTACGTTAAAAGAACAATCACTGCAAACTTAATTTTTGTTCTCATTTTACTTGACGCAACTTTCGAAAATTTAGTTCTCATCCACCTCAGCCTCTTGCTCTTCCTCGAATTCAGCATCCTCATCGGCGGTAGCCTCCTGGTATTGCTGATATTCGGAGACCAAATCATTCATGTTGCTCTCTGCCTCGGTGAACTCCATCTCATCCATACCCTCGCCAGTGTACCAATGCAAGAAAGCCTTGCGACGGAACATAGCAGTGAATTGCTCAGAGATACGCTTGAACAGCTCCTGGATGGCAGTCGAGTTTCCGATGAAAGTAGCAGACATTTTCAGACCACGGGGTGGGATGTCGCAGACAGCGGTCTTCACGTTGTTGGGGATCCATTCAACAAAGTATGAGCTGTTCTTGTTTTGGATGTTCAGCATCTGCTCGTCAACCTCCTTCATGGACATGCGTCCACGGAAGATGGCAGCGACGGTCAGATAGCGGCCGTGACGAGGATCGCAGGCAGCCATCATGTTCTTGGCATCGAACATCTGTTGTGTGAGCTCAGGCACTGTCAGCGCCCTGTATTGCTGAGAGCCTCGAGATGTAAGGGGTGCAAAGCCAGGCATGAAGAAATGCAGACGTGGGAATGGAACCATATTAACTGCAAGTTTGCGGAGATCAGCATTCAGTTGGCCAGGGAAGCGAAGGCAAGTTGTTACGCCAGACATTGTCAAAGAGACCAGATGGTTCAAGTCACCATAGGTTGGGGTTGTCAGCTTAAGGGTACGGAAGCAGATATCGTAGAGCGCCTCGTTATCGATGCAGTAGGTCTCATCTGTGTTTTCGACCAACTGGTGAACCGAAAGAGTAGCGTTGTAGGGCTCAACAACGGTGTCCGATACCTTTGGCGAGGGCACCACTGAGTATGTGTTCATGATTCTATCGGGATATTCCTCTCGGATCTTGGAGATCAACAAGGTACCCATGCCGGAACCGGTACCGCCTCCAAGCGAGTGTGTAAGCTGGAAGCCTTGCAGGCAATCGCACGATTCAGCCTCTTTACGGACAACATCAAGCACTGAATCGACGAGCTCAGCGCCCTCTGTGTAATGACCCTTGGCCCAGTTGTTACCGGCACCAGATTGACCGAAAACAAAGTTGTCGGGTCTGAAAATCTGGCCGAAAGGACCCGATCGAACTGAGTCCATGGTGCCAGGCTCCAAATCAACGAGAACAGCGCGAGGCACATATTTGCCACCGGACGCCTCATTGTAGTATACATTGATACGCTCTAATTGTAGGTCGCTGTCGCCATGGTAAGCGCCGGTTGCGTCAATGCCATGCTCATCGGAAATAATTTCCCAGAACTGAAAGGAAGGTAAAAAATAGTTTATTTAATTTAAAATTGTATATCATAAATTAATATTATTTATTTTATATAAATATATACCCCAGTCCTTTTATAGTATCTAAATCAACTTCAAATAATTGTTTCTATAACTCTATTTTTCTGGCCGAACAGATGTTCATTGAACTTTGTATCCATTAAAGGGCACTAATAATAGAAAGCTGTATTTAGACAGAGAGTCAATAAATAAATATTTTATCAGACTTATGGTGGGCTTAAACAGACAACGGAAACATCGTCATCATCGTTGCTGGAACGCTTGTGTGGGTTGATCATAACACCAGCTGTCCACCTTAACTGTCTTCGGCTTTTCCGTATATGTATGTAGGCTGCGCGCTGCGCACTCCCCACGCACAAGCGAGCAATAGTCATAGTCAGCAGACATGCGCCTACCTCAAATTTAAGCGACAATCTCTACACTTATTCACATAAATACATATATGTACGTGTATGCTCGCAAGCTTACATCATCGGCGGCGGCAACAACATCAGCCCAGCCCACACACTAGAGAGAAAAAGCGATTGGCGTAAGCCGAGGCCAAGCTCTGTATAGTGCATCAATTTAGTTCGTCTGATATGCCATATGGCGTTAGAAATGTACTTTTTGAGCAGATTACGTCATTTTCAAGCCCAACTTTTGGCTTGTTTATTTGTAGTAAACAATAAAAACACCTCACCTCAAAAAAGATAAGTAAAATTAAGGGAATAAACAAATACAGTTGCTATGATGACCAAAATTACCCTCAAAACAGCAACTTAATTGTGACTGCGCCTACGACAAATACATATATGCATACCTATATAGAAGGTAAATAACGTAAGAAAATATAAAATAGTTGCAGCTGCTGCAAAGGGGGTAGTTTTCTATGTATTCCCGAGGACAACAATGGCTGTATTGATTCTCCGAAAGGACGTCGATGACGAAGCCAGTTCGCAATGGGTTTGCCGGTAACCTCTTATACGCATGTGCATGAAAAATGGCAACACCGCCTTGGGTGTGTCATATGGATATATATATAGACATATATACAAAAATGTAAATGCATATACATGTATGTAATAGAGCACATCGTCGTTTTACAATATTTGTATAATAATAATTACTGTACGATTACGGGATTGAGGAATGCTACTTGTTCTTAACAAGCAAACAAACAATGCAAGTAATTATTTGTATATACAATTATTTATATATCTGTATGTATGAAAATTTGTGCATTTAAGTAATTAATAAAAACAGCAACTTCTTTTATGCCGATTTACATATATACACTTAATACATGCGGCCACACAGATGTGAACGTTTATGCATATACAATCATCTATACGTGTGTGTATATACTTTGTCATTGCGAACCGGTCGACAACCGGTTCAGCCATTTTAGGTAAAAATGACGTCATATTTTCTCTTCACAAAACTCCAGAAGGCAAAACCATATGAACAGAAAAAACACGAACTACATGAATACTATATGTTAATCTAGCATAGTCAAGAAACATTTGATTGATCGACTAAAAAATATACCTTTCACCAATTACAATCACCCATACATACAAATACTTTTTCTTAGATGCATATGTATGTATGTTTGTATATACCATACCATCTAAAGCTACTTTCTCATTGAAAGAAAAAAACTAGAGCTTTGAAGAAAATATGAGTCATTTACACATATAGAAATATGTGTATATGGAAACATGTATACATACATATGTGTACTAAATGTAAAAATAATAGTAAGCGCTACGTTTAGGCGATCAAAGTTAATAACATGAAGACACGCCCCAAGCCTAATAGATATAAATCTGAATTCTATATACATAATTGTGTATACACATACATATTTACATACACAGACACTGAAAAGCCGAAAGAGCCTGTTTATTTGTATATGCATATGTATGCATGAAATTATTTCTTTTTTATATACATGCATAAGTAATTATGTGATATACAAACTTATGCTCTGATGCCGGTGGCCTCAATAATTTTTGCCACATGGCAGCGCAAAAATGACGCCATGTTGACTGGTAACTGTACTTTATTCTTATTTTAAACTCAATTAAGGCAATTCTCAAATGTTTAGTACATACCTTGGCTCCGATTTGGTTGCCGCACTGACCAGCTTGGATGTGTACAATTTCCCTCATTTTCTTTTTGTGTATATAAAATTGTAGACTTTTAACTTAAAAGATATTTCCTGCTTGTATTCACAAACACACTTCTGCCCGCTTCACTTGACGAATACTGTCTGAGTTGTTCTCCGAAATCGCCGGTATAATATAACGTTGAAAGCAAGTGTGACCAGAATACGCAAACGAAAAATACCACCAACATAGAATACAAGAGAAGAAAGGTTACGCTCTGCATGCTCGACTACATCATATATGCAAGAAATTAAGACATATATATTTATATTTTAATAATACTTTGGAATAAATTCTGAACCTAACTCTTGTAATTTAAAGTATATAAACGTACTCAGAATATTAAAAATATGTATATGTAAATATAAAAATTCAAAATATTCTTAAACTGAAATGCTATTAGCTCTCTATCTATATTTTACCTACTCTCCCTCACGTTTTCTCTCATTTACTCTCTCTCATTCTTGGAGTGGTAAAAATAAAACAATATTTTTTTGCAGTTTCTAGAAATAACCCGAAGTCACGAAGGAAGCGAAAATATAAATGCATTTTTCTGCTTTGACTAGAATAACCCCTGAGCGACCCCAAATAATATCCTGCCATGTTCCTTATAATTTGCAAGGTTAAAAAGCATGATTGAAAAATCGATAAAGGATAAGTTTTTGTTAATCGTTTATTTATGTTTTTAAGAGCCTTCGATTATG